GGGGGGGGGGGGGGGGGGGAGAAAAGGGTCGTCCGATGAGATTTCATTAATTTATATAGAAAGTTCAGGGTCAAAGTTGGGTCAATCGAATTGAATGGAATTGGCGAAAAAAATAACAGTTATGAACGTGACGGATGATAAAATCTGCCCTCTTGGCGTAAAGAGGAAAAGGGGGAGTGGGGTTGGGGCGACACAGCGTGATTCGCACGAAGCACGTGCCCCCATAATCCGCCCCATGACTTACCGGCCGTTATAAATTGACCGGCATTGGCCGATCGTGCCGCGGAATATAAATCCGAGTTTAACGCGTTTAAACGATATAATCGGCTTGAGTCGTGAGGGTAGGTGGTGGGAGGTGGAGGGAGGGTGATTCACGTAAGTGTCGAGAAGGGGGGTCCAATGGGGATTCCATGGGCCCCCAAGTAATGGTTAAGGTCGTTAGCGCCGGATTGCCTGGAGCGATCGGTCGCATCTTATCGGTGGATGATTGGACGGGCGTAAATGTGGACCGAGTCCTTCTTGTAGCCATTCGAAACGGGGCCTTACAGCCTGGAGTGGCAGGATCGGCTCCAGAGTCCTACGCGTATTCAGGCCCATAAGGCCCCACTGGCATCTGGTGGGGACGAGCACGCTTGCCACGCGTCCGAACTCTCACGAACTTTGCCGAACCCAACCGAGGGCCCGACATAATGATAATAATCTCTCGTGACCGGGCCCGCTGGGGCCCAATACGCCCGACGATACGTATCGGGTGTTGCAGCTGCTATTTCTGTCGAACTGCACGTTCTTTTCTTTCCTCCTTCTTTTCTTCTCCTTTTTTTTTCACTCATCTTTTTCTTAGTTTTCTTTATTTCCTCCCTCTTTCCATCCACGTCATGGACTACGTGTAACTGCGCAGCCTCCTGTCTCTGATCTACTTTGGGCCTTACAAGCCTTCTACCTAGACCCCCTTTGCCAACTATCTAAAATATCTTTAATCATCGACTTGATGGATCTATCAAGAGCACTCTGGATCTACCCCATACAATGGATACGTCTCCATTTACTTGATATCCCACTGGCCCAATATCAGACCCAATAACAAAAACTCCCTTTGAATTCACACGGACCCCTTTTCCCTCTAGCATTTCACCCAGGGTCTACCTATTTTCATATCTGTCAGATTGCCCTACTGCCAAGGCAGTCGGTAAACGAGAATTCTGACATCTGTTCCTTGAGTTTTCATTTTTTTTTTTTTTTTTTTTTTTTTTTAAAAAAACCCGGTAAACGAGAATTCTGACATCTGTTCCTTGAGTTTTCATTTTTTTTTTTTTTTTTTTTTTTTTTTGAAAAAAATCATAAGCCGACGAATATCGATAGTAGGCAGTATTAGGAAGTACAGAGGTATCGGGTATAGCGATGAAAGTATCCACCCTACACCCTGTTCTACCTAGTGGCAACTCTCGTCCAATAGAGCTTAGCCGTATAAGTTGAGGGATGAAGAGGGATAAAGACTGGACGGTAAGCTGAAGAGGGTGAGAACTGCTGAAGAAGACGGGCAGCTTGACTTTGGAGGATTTTTCTTAGGGTCGCACAGCCGGCCTCACCGAAAATCATTGGAAATTAATAGGTTTCACGTCGTAGAACGATTTTGGGGCCTTACGGGAACCGGTAGGAGGCGCAGGAGGGCCCATTATACCGGGCCCGCCGCAACCCCTAAAAAGGTACAATCTCGTTAAGCCCTTTTACTCCGCCACCGTCTTCAATCCTCTCTCACGTCATCGAGGCGTTTCTACGGACTATCACGTATAAGGGAGAAATTATTATTTTGAAAAAAAAAAAAAAAAAACTCAAAAAGATACACTCCGATCGTTACACCTATCCGCCAGTTTCCATTTAGCCAAACGATCTTACCGAACACGCCTAACAAATTTTCTACCCATTCTCCACTGACTTTTCTTTTTTTCTTCGCTTTCCTCAGAATTCCTACACTTCATGCCGGTCTTAAGTTTTTGTAAACGGAACACGTAAGTCACGGAATACCTACGGTAAACGGCTCCTTTAAAATCACACGAGTCGAAAAATGGTAGCTGGTAACACTATGATCACGTAGCGCCGACAGGTTAAAGACAGTAAAATTCCTCGAGTTTTTCCATTATTTAGGAAACTTGTAATACTCACCGTCTCCCTCGTCTCCCTGGTCTTCTCGTCTTCTCGTCTTCCCATTGTGTCCCCTTCTCTCTCCGTTCCGTCTACGTGGACTCCGCCGGAGATGCTCTTTGTGCAAGTCGCGTTCCTCCGCTCGCCGTCTGGTTCGTCCGCGCGTTCCTTTGGTTTAGGCTCTGTTCCCATTGTGGCGACGGATTCGCCTCACGTCCGCGGTGCTGCGGACTCTCGCAACGTGTGGGAAACCCTGAACAATGCCGTGGCTATGACGAACCCGGTATTGTTATGGTAAAAGCGCACAAACCGGCAGTGTCCACTGACAGGACAATCCAACCCAGTCTCGGGCATCATGAGAGCGTCGACATCGCCGATTAACCTGGCGCCTTCCGAACGACTCGGGCAAACGCCCGAGGAGTCATGATTTATCCAGCCTTCTGTGGATTACATTATGTGTGTCAGAAAAATGTATCATAATTGTCATACAGGATTTCACAAAGCAAGCATTTCACATACCTATACGTACGAGGACTTGAAGGATGGTCCTAGAATAGTCTCGGGGCCGTCCGGGATGCAGGTGTCGCCACATTCTCAAGGTTGTCTACCGATACTCACTTCGTTCGCATGATAGGGCCCCCGATCACCTCCCACTGGCCCAGCTTCGTTTTCTCTCGTTTGCACCGAGGCAGCTGCTCCTGGCTGCTCCTGGCTGCTTCTGCTGCTGCGGCCTCCTTCCTTCGTTGCCCTCCGAAAAATGTGGTCAAGATAAAGAAAGGAAGTAAACAAGAAAGGAATTAAATGATAGGTCGCGTGGTCGTGCCGTGGGCTCATAGGGTTTATAGTTATGTAAAACCTAGTGTAGGTGCGAGCGAGCGGGAAGAGGAAGAGAGAGAGAGAGAGAGAGAGAGAGAGAGAGAAAAGCGAATAAAAGGGAAGATGAAGAAGCTCAAGGAACGAACGAAGGAAATAAGGAAGGAAACGGGGCCTCCTTTATTTTCGGAGGCTGCGCCCCTGCGAAACGCCAGCAACACGTGTTCCTTTGCCTCGGGGGAGTGGAAGGGAGACGAGAGAGAAGGAGGAAATGTCAGAGAGATCGAGAAGGACGGAGCATTGGAAGGAGGAGAAAAAACAAGGTGGTTGAGATGCACTCCGGAAGCCAAGGTGGTTGCAGCCTCCCTGCACGGGCCACTTCCGTCTAGCCTGGCCATTTACTAACATCCCATACGGTCCGTTCTCACGCTTTGCCTCGTGCACAATAAGATTAAAGAAACATTTATTATTATCCACGAGAGCTACCGCTGCGTCGTATTTATATGGATAAATAAATAACATACAATATCCGAATTATCCTACGAGTATAAAAATAAAAAGAAATTTACATATTGTTATTCGCGTTATTAATTAATTAATTCTAGCCTTTATCTATAGTCGGTGTACTATGCTGTATCCGTATACTACATTCAGTATAATTCTTAGTCTACGCTATACCGTTTTGTCACATAATAAGGGAAGACTGCTATGACTTATATGCTAATGCTGAGAAAGTATCTGACAACAACAGGCTATGTATAGCTAACTAAATACGCAACTAAAGGTATTCACTATTCATTGAGCCGAGTAAAGTGCGTCAGCGCTAACTTAACTAACAAGAGGTTATTCAATGCCTGTCACTTGGTTACAGTTAGTGTATCACGTGGATTTCTCTTTCGACGTTAAAACGGTACGTTTCAGTCAATCAATTTCCTTGTTTTCTTTCTCACAAGATATTTAGCTGCACTGTCACTAAGAATAATGACGCACTTAATTCTTAGCGACAGTGTTGTCTCGCTGATGGATTTAATGGAGTGTGGCAGTGAAACTTTTTGGCAATTGCGCGCCAGTAGAATTATATAGTTGGCTCGTGAGTATTGTGGATGAAAATGGCAGATGGACAAATGCAAAGTCCCTAGGATGGGACACGTGTTGGTATAGTCCGCCTACAAGCTTCGCATTTTTCCCATCTGTCGGTTTAAGCTAGTGTATACGTGAAACTACCACGGTTTTCGTAATTGCTATTGATACTCTAGAAGGAATAATTGTTTGACGTTCCACTACACACTGCTACTAGGTATATTAGGCGTAATATAGACGGCTGCTTGAAATTTGAAGATTCTTTATCTATGCTTAATATCCTTAATGGAGTTAAGGAGTCTATTAATCTATTTCTGTGTATTGCAATGAACTGTTATTGCTTCTCAACTACGGCTTTTGTACCGTTCACTTTCAGGCTCAACCCGATCCACGTCACCGAGTCGCTACTGCAAATTTACCAGTTCATTTGTTTGGCGGAGTGTTGCACTGGCTGTTCCGAAGAATAGTGGTCCGCCTGTTCGTTGTGACTCTGTGGAAAAAGTGCGGGTTTAGTTGAATTGAAAATTTGTCAACGGTTAAGATACTAGAGGAAGGTTTTACTTGAGAATGAAGATAAGCTTTGTTGTCCTCTGTGGGTTTCTTCTTTTGGGAAGGATCGTAAGGGCGCATACGATTATCAGTACGGCACTGGGTGAAGTTCGTGGTGTCGTCCTTAGAGCAGAGAACGGGAGGAACTTCACTGGCTTCCTGGGGATTCGCTATGCGAAGCCGCCATTGGACAGTCTCAGATTCGCTGTAAGTTTCATCCAGGAAGTGTTAAGGACATTTTTCGTTTTTGATTCTTCATACTATTTTGAATCAGTTTCTTTGAATTATGTTACTTTCCATGTTTATCATTCGCAGCCTCCGGAAACACCCGAACCCTGGACCGGTATATTTAATGCTACGGTAGATTCACCGAAATGCATTCAAGCAAATGACTTTTTTGAAAATGGGTCAGTCATTGGATCCGAAGACTGTCTTTATTTAAATATATACGTGCCTAAGGTAATTATATGTGTTTGATTATTAATCAATTAAAAGATTCGAATTTTGGAAATAAAGCATGCTCGTACATTCTTGAATGGAAATTTCAGCTTCCACATGAAGATGACAGTTATCCTTATCCAGTAATGATTTGGATCCATGGTGGATCCTGGCTAAGATGGAGCGGTACCATGGCTGACTTTCCACCAGGACGATTAATGAGAAAGGACCTGATCCTTGTCAGCATTAATTACAGACTCGGCTGGTTTGGTAAATAACTTTCGAAAAATTGTCCATAAAAATCTTCCTTTATGTCTGAGAAGAATCCTTTTTCAGGTTTCCTCAGCACCGAGGACGAGGTCGTGCCAGGAAACAATGGCTTGAAAGATCAAGTAGCTGCGATTAAATGGGTCAAGGAACACATATCGTCCTTTGGAGGTGATCCTGACAGGATCACCCTGGCAGGCCAGGATACAGGAGCCATTAGTGCTCATCTTCATTCCTTATCGCCCAAGACTAAAAGTACAAAAATTCTTGTTGAAAAATATAATTAAAAAATTACCTATCACTGAACTTGGTAAAATCTTTCAGAATTGATTTTCGGAGTTATTGCTCAAAGTGGCACGGCCCTGGATCCAAGAACGATCCATTATCCTGGTGAGGCCCTGAACAAGGCCAAGATCCTTGCTAACTCATTATCATGTTCCAGCGATGATAACAGGAGCATGGTCGACTGCCTGAGAAATGCCGAGGCCGTCAAGATCGCACAATCGATCAGTTTACTTAGGGTGAGCTCAGGATCACGTGGTAATTGAGGATCATCGATGAATTCATTTACTGATTACAGATCTGGAAGCACCTGCCAGATATTCCACTCAGGGCCGTCGTCGAGCATTCTCACAGTGATGCTTTTCTGCTTGAACATCCTGAAAAGACAATTCGTAATGGGAAACAAGCCAGGGTGCCATTATTAGTTGGTACTGTGGCTAACGAAGGCACTTTGTACGCTCTAGGTAAGATAATTGAATTGAAAAAATAAAATTGCACAATATTTACCTCCCCTCTTACAGCCTGGTCATCAATTATCAGAGAACTGAGCAACAACTACAGAACAGTCTTTCCTGTGATTTTTTCTTACGAGGAATACCACCTTAATAACACAGAAAAAAATGTCACAGATTCAATCAAAAATTATTATTTTGATTCCAACGAAATTGGTAGCAATTCTGCCGGGAGATTAGAAAAGGTTTTTATCAATGGATCAGAATGACTGTTAACGTATAATGACTATATGACGATTAAAAAACATTTCAGGCCTTAAACACCAGATTTTACAAAAATCCTCTTAATCTCTTGATCGGCTTGCAACGTGCCAACAATACTATTTATCTCTACAGATTGAACTACAGGTACGTCAATGAAACTCGATACCTGCATTAATGAAAAATAAAATTTTGAAAAATTCCCAGGGGAAGCAACTCCTTTGCCAATCTCTTTGACACGTCCCTGGAGCATTGCGACAAAGTGTGCCACTACGATGATCTACGCTACTTGTTCAATCTCTCGCGTATCCTTGGAAAAGTGGAAAATCACGCATCGCAAGGAGAAACCTTAATGATCGAGAGTATAACGGAGCTGTGGTACAATTTCTTAGCGATCAGGTAAATTTTGAAAATTTTCCTAAAATATTCATAGAAATGGTACAGCGACGTGCACGAACATATATCGTCCCAGAAAGCCTACGCCAGAGACTACGGAATTACTGCCAGTCAAGTGGGAACACATTGGACCGGATCAAAAGGATCCCATCCAGGTGCTGATGATAAACGGTCCTCAAAATTTCACTATGGAATCGATTAGTCAGGATGAGCTAACCAAGGAATCCTTCTGGAACGATCTAGCCCTTCCGCAGAGTACGACTTACAATATATCATCTGCGAGTCGCATGTCTTTCAAGGAACGCCTTAGTCATTTTTTCGAAAATATCAGAAACGGCTTTAAGAAGGTGTTCGGTTAGAAGATTATTCGTGGATACGAATAAAGGGCCAGTGCACAACGAGCGAAGAAGACAAGGTACTCAAAACATAAGAAAATATATAGACGCAATGTATAATAAAAAATAAAATATTGAGAATGATATCCTATTCTAATAAATAAGAGTCTACTCGCACGGAAGATCCCGAAAGGATAATAATCCTTGAGGACTAGCAGGTAGTGGTCCCCGCCCACAGTATCCGCAAGACATTATTATTAATAACAAGAATAATAGAAAAAAGATAAAAAAAAAAAAGAAAAGTCCCTGGCAGCAGATGCAGCCTTCCTCCGAAAAACGGAAGGAAGCGTCTCTTTTATTTTTCGCTAGTTCCTCCCTCCCTTTTATCCCTTTTTTCTTCCTCCCAAGTCCCAGCTCGCTCTCTCCCGGCCTACTTCGGCCAGAGGCAGAAGGGAGAAGCGGGAGGAGCTTCCTGCCGCAAAATGGAACACAAGGATCGTCCCGATGGGCAAAGGAGGACAATAGATTGCAGAGGGTAATCGCGCAGGACTAGTTCCTCGCATTTTAATACCAGTATTCGAGAGCAGGAACTCGAACAATCGCCCGAAGGAGAATCCATTCAAGGTGGGCAGGATGTCGTCTACGCGGTGTCCCACGTATGTGGAGCAACGTCCTCGAGAGGATCCGCGCACACCTTCCCCCACCGATATCTCCGGGTTATCCAAGATAAGAATGAATAAATTTTGAAATTCGAAGAAAAAAAATAAACAAAAAGTCCCAAGGACACCGAACCGTGATACGAGACCGCGCGGTATCCTGGATCCTGATACAGTTCCCAGTGATTTCTTTCAGGTCCCTAGCTATTCTTAGAAACTCTTAGGAATCAAGATGCAAAGAGAGAAGAAGGTTATAATGAAACGAAGAGAAGAAGAGGGAAAAAAGAAAGCTCCACGACAGAAATCTAGCTTCTACCAACAGCCGTCTTTTTCATCTTCAGCTGCCAGACCTTCCCACGCTATACAGAACCATAGCAACCCAGCCGTACCTGTCCCTGTATCCATAACCTATACCTACCTACCCGACCTAACCTATATACCTACACGGTACAGGCCTCACGCGCATACACGTAGCAATGCGCACGTCTACACGGTATTACCAACATACTATAAAAAAAATCCTCTTCCTCTTATCCATCAGCTTCCACTGCTTCCTTCCCATCTTCCTCGACCTCCTCTTCCGTCTCCTTCGTCCTCCTCGGCCGGCAGGACCCCGCAAACCTGATCGCTCAGCCGAAAGGACTGCACGAAGAACCAGCTGCCGCGAAGAACATCCGCGAAGCCGATGCTCTCCCACGCCCTGAACTCCCTTCGCGAGCCCTTGTTGGCCCTTTTCGCTCCCGTGGGACAGTAGGTGCAAGGTGCAAGGTGCAGGGCGCTCCTGCCGTGACCCTTCACCTCCGCGGTGCCACCTTTATTTCCCGAGTACCTGTTGGAATGGGGCACGAGTATTAGGCGCAATGTTTTTTTTTTTATTTCTTCTTTTGCAAACTCCTCCCGTCGCCACCCTCGACTCTCGCGCGACTCGGCGCCGGCGCTGCTGGCCTTTTCCATCGGGCGTTAATCGGGTCGCCTCGACGACTCCAGATAATTCCGAGTCGCAATTAACCGATCGGTGCAAAATGCAAAGCCGATGCATTAATTAGCGCCGCGGTGCCGTGGAAAGTCGGATTCTCGGCTACAATAGAAAGCATCGCATAACTCGTGCTTACCGAATTAAATCGATTTCACGGAGCTCGCAACAAAGCATTTCGCTGAGCCATCTAATTAGGCGTGCCTTCGCGGTTTTCATTGGGGCGACGCGTCGCGACGCTCCACGCTCCCCGGAGGTACTCTGCGATAATACTTTCGAGAGGCGAACTTTCAAAAATTTACCTTGCCATTTTTAAATTTCATCAAACTTATTCATCAATTTTTGTATACTTAGTAAAGTTCAATGAAAAATTTCGTAATTCTTTATTCAACCGATTCTTCCGTTAATCAATAAATTAATTATGGAAAGTCCTCGATGCATTTCACACTGGGTTTTATTTAGCTGCGAGTATCGATACGCAATTGCCCAGGGTCCCAGGTACCCTCCTCCTCTTCCTCTCGCACCCTCCACCCGGTCAGGTATCATTATTCCCTATTGACTGAATGAATTCTTTGACTGGTTACCGGCTGGGAGCCCAGCACCAGGTACACCATCAGGGAAAAGGTGCTCACAGGGTTCAGGTGTCGTCCATACGTGGCTCGGCAAACTTCCCAAAGGTAGAATCTGCATATTTCATATTATATACGGCATAACCACAATGGGCCATACCTGTGCCCCAGGTATATAGGGTGGCCCATGTTAAAAGGGCAGACACAGAGTCAGCGAAAGCTTTCACAAATTTCCAGATGGTAAACGAATCAGAAATCCAAATCGGGTAATAATAATTAAATCCATAAACAAAAAGTGCATAAAATTCAGGATAAAATACCGCGTCGTAATCACTGGTGATACAAGAACCTGAAAATATAAAGAGTCCAAGTTATGAAAAATAGGAAGAAACAGAGCCGAGCAAAGACAAGCAGCCGATCGTGAGTTTCGAAAATGAGAAAATATACATATGGCTCGGGGACAGGGTGAGGTAACCGAAGCGCATCCCCTCGGAGTAGGAATACGATTTGGCAGAAGGTGCCCGAGGAATCGAGAGAGAGGAGGGTCCGTTGCAGATGGTGAAAATCTGAGGAATAAAGGGAAAGGACGAGTCCCCAGGGGTATTGAGGATGGGAGGGGAGTCATAAGACGATGATAGGTAGATGGCTCGAATAAGGGGAGAGGGTAGGTAAGTCAGTAAGGAATAAGGCGAAGGGGGCAGAGAGAGAGAGAGAGAGAGAGAGAGAGAGAGAGCTAAAGGTGGAAAAAGATGGCAACCGCTAAGGTTTTTACCTACTGGCAACAGTGAGACCGACAGGGTCGTATAAAGAAGCTGACTAGCACGCATTGGGTAGCATTGGGTAGCATTGGGCAACACCTGGTGGCTGACCGACGCAACAGATGCCAAGATGGTGCTTTCTTGCACATGCACAGTTAAATACGATTCCGAAATATTCTAGCCCAGGATTTTTCGAGCCTTCATTGATCTTCGTAACCTATGACCCTTGAGATAGCAGCAGCGCCATCTGACCCAGATCGCAAGTGCTCGCAAGTCGTGATTCTCGCTCCAAGATCTTCTGTTCGCCAGATGCGTCCTCGAGGAGAGAATACTGAACTTTGTGCTCCGGTTTCATCCTCTTTGGTAATACCAGAAGTGTAAAGGGGTTACGTATCTAATGCTGTCGAATTATTAATAACTCGCTAAGGATTTCTTGTGATTTTTCTTCAGTCTTAATTTTCGTTTTTTTTCTTTCTTCAGCCCTCACGGGCCAAGTTGCTGGTAGGTGTGTACCTTATGGCTGATATTCATGCCTACGATATTCACGTGCTGCTGTGTATTTCGCCTTGGTGTATATAAGTGCATTTTCGTGTATCTGTAGTCACACACGTACAAGAGGCCGTACACTCGCCGGCCAACTGCGTACAATCTGTCGCCCTCGTCATCTGCCCCTTGAAAAATCTCGGAGCTTCGCCGATTCTTACCGTAGAACACCTGTGCGCCTTGTGCTTCTTATTTTTCACGGATTTTTTTACATCGATTTTTCATTTTTTTTTTTTTTTTTTTTTCCCCAAAAAATCTCGGAGCTTCGCCGATTCTTACCGTAGAACACCTGTGCGCCTTGTGCTTCTTATTTTTCACGGATTTTTTTACATCGATTTTTCATTTTTTTTTTTTTTTTTTTTTCACCAAAAATTGCTCCCTCCTACACGTCCTCTTGCTATTGCGACAGATCAGAAGTATTTATGAATTCTTATTAACGTATCGCACGTGGCTGCTCGATTCCTTCGTCTCGTCACGTGAACGTGATAAGCGACCCAAGGCTGCAACAGAGCGATAAAAAAGCAAAAAGATTCGTCGTCAAGTAAAGACAAGGAAAATAAAAAACGTGAAGTTCTCCAGTAAAATCTCGACCGTCCAATGGAATCCGGCAGTCGCATGCACCTTTGCGTGCGTTAACGCACATGCATAATGCAGCGGCTGCAGGTGCAGCGTCGATAAAGAAGAGAGAGAGAGAGAGAAGTACTTACATATAGGTACAGGAAGGATTTACCTTCTGTTATCCCCGACTGCCGATAGAGGCACTGCGGTTTCTTTCAGGAACACAGTGGACGGGGAAGAGGGGGCGGGAGTGATAACAGCGAGCGAGATAAGAAGATAAAGGACTCACTCATCTGCACCGAGTTAACACGAAGGAGCAATGACGTGAAGTCAGTAGGTAATCAAATTGGTAGTCGGGCCGAATCGGTTACACGGGGCCATCGCTAAGGGCTGATACTAAAGAGGGAGCAGCTGCAGGACACCCCGTGAAAAAAGAAAGAGAAAGAAAGCCGAAAGATTCCTTTCAATACTTGGACTCTCATCCCAAAGCTTCCCTCTCTCGCTCTATTTTTCTGGCGTAACCTGGTTTCATACAATTTTGAGGTTATAAGTCCCAGCATGCAACGAGACGCAAGGCCCCCCCTCATTATCTGGATCTCGCTCGGGTCCTAGGACCCAGAAAAATACACAACGGTCGTCCTGGAAAGACGTCACGTTCAGGAGGCGGTGTGCCGGATCCTCGTTTCCTTTCCAAACGAAATCAGGACAGGATTTTGGAGGTTAGGTAGTCACGCGCCCATCTGCGCATGCGTCCCAGCGACCGATCGTTCCCATTGCGCATTCGGCATGAGGAATCGACCTGGATTTGCCTATGGAATAATAGGCAAGATTTCCTATTTAAAAAGTGAGTGAGAACCGGATAACCTCTATATGCATACCTGTATCTATTGGCCGGAAGTCGTCATCATTATTCTTATTGGGCTCAATGCGAGTTCTTTGAATATCCATCAGGCGCCCTTAGACATTCCATGAAATGGGTCTTCTGCGATAATTCTGTCAGAGATAAAAACATACTTTTTTAGTGGGAAATTCAAAAATTGTATGGATGGATCTCTATAGATTCCGGGGATATGAAATAGGTTGGGTTAG